CGTCGTGTCTGTGCTTCCCCTTCGAGGTCACACCCGCGTCCCCCTCTCCACCTGCCTGAGCTCACGGCCGGCACCGCAGACCTGCGTGCCCATGCGCGGTGGCCACACACTCAGGGTCCTAACAAAGGGGGCTAAGTCTGTGGACCCCAGAGGGCAGAACTCTGAGCAGGGCCAGCCGTGGTTAGGTGGTGAGGGCAGATCTTCACTCAAGTTGGTATAAACTATATAACATAATGTGTATTTAATTTGAAGGGTATGTATATCTATATGCATCTCTCCATCTATAGTCAGTTCTTGTAAGCATCTTACCTCTCTGGGGTCTCCATGGAAATCAAGAGCGAAAAATTTCTGTGAAGACAAAGGCAGAGGCTGTGGGTGAGAAGGCCTCCTGAAAGAAAAGCTGATCCTGTGAGCTGTGCTCAAAGGTATCAAGTCCTCCCTCCTGGTGCCACCCTGGCTGGGCTGAAAGGAAGTGGGCAGGGCACCAGCTCCCCTGGGCATGAGCACAGGGTGCAGGTATGGGATGGGGGAGGGGAGCTCTGGAGAGGACTGTTGCTTGTGCCTGCCCTGCCCTGCACCCATTTCCTCTTCTTGTTCCTCCAGGCAAAAACACCCCAATTTTCCTTTGGGGGACTCCCTCTTCCCCAGTCTCACTCCACGATTCCAGGCATCTATATGTGACCTGAGGTGCACCATCTCCCTGAAGACAGGGATTACTTCAGGGATGGACATGTGCCCATGTCAGTTCAATAGAGTTTACCCAAAACTTTTGCTGGAATTCTTGGGAAAGAGGGTTTCTAAGCAGATAGGATGTAAGTCTAGAATACTGTTGTTGTCTAACCTCCCCAGGGGACAAATCTGCCTGAGAGTGAAGCCAACACAGAGAGGTAAAAAGCTGAGGGATAGAGACAGAGTCTTAATGATATCATATGTGCATCTGGATCCAGACATGCCTGAAGCCATCAACTCCTGGACTTTTCAGTTAGTTACCTGAAGATTCTGTTACAACATACCCCTTTCTCTTCTCAAGTCACTTCGAGATGAGTTTTCTCCTCCTGCATTAGAAAATCCTGACTCATACAAGCTCACTGAAATTCACCCCACCCCACGCTTCTCTTTGCTGTGAGCTCACCAAGATTGTGCTGATTTTATTGTGACACTGTAGCTAACAGGCCTGACCAGTATGCAGGAAGTCCCAGTAAGGGTCCCTCCGTTATGGGTTGTAGCCCTGCAATCCAGGGGTGTGTGTGTGTGTGTGTGTGTGTGTGTGTGTGTGTGTGTGTGTGTGTGTGTGTGTGTGTGTG